CAGAAGGGGAAAAGCAAGCCAAGACCTCAGTTGTTTTCCAGTGTCATCCTTTGCTGGATGTCAGGTCCCTGTGTTCCCTGGCCGCTTTCCCCTGTATTAGCTTCCTCATCCTCATTCTCACCAGCCCTCCCCTCCATGGAACTCCATTTGTTGCTTAACCCATTGGCTCCCTCTCCTTTCCTTCTTCTGTTGTTGCTTTGTCTGGGGCTCTGGTTCCTCTGCAATATCTTCCTCACCTTCCTCTGCCCCAGAGGAACTGTGGGGATCAGACCTGCCTTCTCCTCCCAAACCCTTTCCTTGAGCCTCTCCTGCCCTTACACCTGGAAGGAGGCAGGCGACAGGTACAGAATAGTGTTTCTTCAATGCTAATGCAGGTGACCTGGGCTGATAGCCCTAATGTGGGCAATTCCACTTTCCTCAGCCTTTCTGCAAGTTGAGACCGCACCTGCTAACTGTACTTATTAATGCTGATTAAGCTGACTAATGAGACTCTTGTGCACACATCTGAGGGACAGCAAAACAGAGTGACAAGGAAGGAAGAAATTGCTTTTGCACATAGCTGTGGAGTTAAGGTTGTTGTGGAGGGAGGGCAGAGCTTGCTCAGAGCCCAGGAGGAAGCTAGTCTGGCAGATAATTCTATGTGTTGAGTTAGGGGCTCCTTTTCTGATGCAAAATTGGAGATTTTCAGCTTTGCTGGGCCAGTTCTATTTGCAGTATGACCGAGGGCTGGCTATTGTGCACCTCTGCCTTGCTGCTGGTTTCTGAGTTGTAACGGGAAATATCTTGCAAAGACAGAGGTGCTTTGAAACGTGGGCTGTGCTGGATGCAACACAGGTGAGACACACAGCAGGGAGAGCAAGAGGCTAACTTCTTCCTCAATACCCATGCCCTGACATGCCAAAAGACTACAGACATCTGTGTGCTGTGACTCAGGCAGGCGAGCTCATGGTTAGGAATGGCTGAGATCCCAAGAAATACATGTGAGATTTTTAATGATTTTTTTTTTTGCTAGCCTCTGGGCAGCTGGTAGAAGAGGGTATTTCTAATTCACTTTATAGGATTTTAGATGCACAAGAGAACCACAGTACATCAAAGAGGAATGAATGCTGTAATTCCCCTGAAAGGTCCCGGCTTTTTACAGAGCTCTTTATTGCTGTTAAGCTCTTTAGGGAACACTGTATTCTGTCTACCGCAGACTTGGTGGTGGAAGTATGATATGCAATGCCCATCCATCCCTATTACATTACATCCCTATTTCAGCCTCTAGGGAATGATCCGGATCCTCAAAGGCTCTTAAGTGCCTGATTTAGTTTGAAATCGTTGAGAATTTAGCATCTAAATCTTTAAATACTCTGCATGAAAGACTGCCCTGCAAAAGCTGACTTGTATGTGCTTTAACTTAGTAGTCTCTGCATGTATTTAATGATGCATGGAGTTACTCACATTGCCTTTGAAGGCTTTCCTGTTGTGTCGTGTGTGGCTGTTCTCATCAGAGAAAGGGCAGGTTGGGGTAGGAACAGGACTATTGCAGTTCCTGTTGGTGATCACTAAGAGGCAACCCAAAGAGATACCCTGAGCAGAGGGGGTGGAGATTGAGGTGTAAGAGACCTCACCCCATTCTCCAGAAACACAGAGAACTGAGGGAGGCTTCAGCAGCAGTAAGAACTGGCAGGTGGAAGGTGCCCACCAGAACTGTGCCATTTGGGAGAGTATTTCAATGATAGCTGAGTTTTTGGTCCTGATTTTCAACTTTGTGCCCTAAGCAGAAATGCGTGACTTTAAATAGGACAGAAGTTTAGCAAGTGCTGCACCCTGAGGAAGAGCAAGGTGTGTAAACAATATGGATTAAACAGAGAGCACAAAAAGTCGCTGAAAAAACAGGCTAGTTTGTCAATGTTTTAGCCTCTTTTCAATTTTTGGAGACTGTGTCCTGGAGAAGGGACCAGTCCCTGCTTTGGAGCTGGTATAAAATGAAGAAGGATCACTGAAAGCTCTGGATAAAGCAACAGGCATTACCAAATAAAGAGAATTATCCAGTCTCAGGTGGCTTTTATGGGCAGTGAATAATACACTGACAGTAAAGGGAATTCAGACTACTACAAGTTAAATTTACAGCAGAAAGACAGAGCTTCATCTGAGACCCTGTTTAGAAAATGAAAAAACTAAGCAAATAATCTTAGAGATTTTATACTGACCTCAAATGAGCAACTGCACCGAGAAAGATGTTAAGACATTTCTGTATATGGCAAAAATACTGTTGATAGCAAAAGAAAGGGAGGTGTGAAGCTGTAGCTTGTTAGAACAAAGAAACTAAAATAAGCTATGCACTGAGACTGCACTTTTCCTCCTGTTTCTCTGAAGTAGTCTTGGCAAAAGACAGTACTGTTAACAGCTCTGTATATGTGACACACATTTTCATTACAAACAGCTTAGGTGGCATGGAAAGGTCTGAGAGTCTGTTGTGGGTCTGTGGGCATGAGTTTTTGGGGTCTGCAGGGAAATGCAGACCTTTGAGGCATAAAATATTTTCTCCAAATAAGGGGCTGGTGGAAAATGGTGGCAGAAATGTGAAGTGGCCAGCCTGGCTGAGAAGTCAGAGCCTAATCCATGTGTGCTGATGCACCATTTAGCAGAAAGCTGCCAAGAAGGTGGTGTTGTCTGTTAGGTGCCTGTGTCAGTGATTTACAGATGAATAAGGAAATAGATGAGGCAGAAGGAAAACACAGTACAATTGGGCCCTGCGAAGACTCACCATGTTCATGGCCATGTCTAGAATGGGAAACAATGACCAGGACAAGAGTCTTACATCCCATGGGGTAGTGCTAGAGTATTGGTAGCCCTCATCACAACCTCTTGGAAGGAAAATCCTCTTCAAAGGAATAAAGCTCCCAGCAAAAGGGCACTGAGTCAGCTGAATTGCTTGGGAAAGCCTCAGAGAAGTCCCACACCTAGCAATGGCAATTGCTGTGCTCCAGGACGACGACGAAGAGCCTGAGTTAATGGCCCAACTGCAGCTGACAGTGTCATGCTAATGCTCTGGGTGAAACCTGCAGGTCGCTGTGCTAGCTGCCTGAACACTGCCCATTTGTGTATTGCAGATACATAATTTTATTTCAGGCACAGTACTCAGCTGCCCAAGCAGAAGTGAATGCTATGAGATGCCCAAGGGTAGTGCCATTGGGACAGTGCAGGACTTGCAGTAGAACCACAGCCTTGTGTAGCAGGAGCTAGAGGTGCGGTGAGACCCCATCATGCCTATCATGGTGCTAGGCACTGGTTTATTGGCAACTGAGTCCTTCCTTTGGGGGACTTTGGTGCTGGATGAAGATGCATGCATTAAAGTGTCTCCATGTGCAAGTGGTGTCTGGGCTTCTGTTATATCCCTGGAGATCTAGGCAACATGGAGGCCAGGGTCACTCAGCTGGGGTGTTTCTGCTTCCATGATCTGAGTCACTTCCCATGGACTTCACTGCCTGGAAACACAAACTGGGACAGCCAGTGCTCCTAGGGATAACTATACTCATTTCTGGATAGATCCCTGTGTTACAGTGATGTTGACTGTTCAATTTTTGTTACCATTGGACTGGTCAGGGAAACAGGTTAGGAGAAACATAGACGTGTTTCAAGAGGCAGTTTGAAGCATTGGTTATGGTGTGTTCCTGTGAAATAGAGGTGGCTGTCCCATGGTCAGACCACGGGGAAGCAGAGTACTCTAGCTTGGACCAACCAGCAAGCCTGCTGTTCTGAATGGTAACACCAGGGAGTGCCAGGAAAAGCTGTCCACTAGACTTGATGAATTCATAGTAGCCTTCCAGCTGGAGGGGCAGTAGGCATGTGAGTGAGGAGACATGGAGCAATAACAGTTATTGCTGTTCATGTTGCAGGTTTTGCTGCTTTCCCAGGAGAATTTTTTCATATTCCCATTACTTAATTGGTACAATGTAATCTAAAACTTTTCCCTGCCATTGTGGACAGAACTTTGCAGCATCCTCAGTCTCACATACCTTTTAAACATGGCTGTTAAATCATCCTAGTGACTTTGCACTGGGGTGAATTTCAATAGATGCCTTAGATGGATTATTTTTCTGTCCTTGGAAACATCAGCATTTAAGTGACTGAGTGGATGGATTGATAGTGGGAATTAGGACAGCAAGTCCTGATTTTACAACATGCCAGGAAGAAAAATCAAATTAGTATAGCTTCGTAGTCTGGATCTGCTTTTCATCGTGGCTCTTCTTCAGGGAGAGAGAGCAGAACAGCAGTTTACTGTAAAGTATGTTCATTTTCACAGCTTTTCTGTATGCTCATCTGCAGTTTAGGGGATTTAGTGATCCAAATGAAGGTGGAACATATCCTTAACCTCTCCCCAGACAATGTGTATGAATACACCTGCATGTATTTTTTTCTTATAGTTGAAATAGTGTGAGGATACTTTACTGCTTGATTTCATCTTCTCTTCCCTGAGAAGGTTCAGATATTTTCGGAAACAAATGAGTAGTTACTAGTGACAGATGGGTTAGAATACTTTGTTTTCCACTCCATTGGCATCTAAAATCTTTGTAGTGGATAACTCTGGAAACATCCCTCTTATCCTTTACTCTTAAACACATGCCTAAGGCCCAAAAGCTTTCATAGAAAACAGAGATTTCCTGCTTTATAAGTCATCCTAGGAGTGATGACTTAGATCATTATGATGACCGAACACGAAAAGAAAACCACAGTAAAGAATTTGTTGCTAGCAAAATGTCTGTATTAAAATACAAAGAAAACTTTCCTGCTGGGAACAGTAATTAATATAGTCTCTTTTGTACAGGTACTATCAGCACAGAAAGTTCCATTTTCCAAACAGACCAAAATGTTCTTGAGGAATAAATTCTACCACTGTCATTCTGAACCTCAGCCTAAAAACCGAAGTGGTCAAAGACAATAGTACTGTGGATCCTAGCAATATTCCAGCATCATTACACTGGCTTACTGCAGCATGTCCCATCAGATGTGGGTTATATCTGGACACTGCTTGGTGATGTCAAGCTCACAGGGCTCCCTATTGTGTTTGAGAAGGCGATGATTGCATTGGAGCCCTTGGAGTTCTTGTTCACACCCAGGATGTCCACACTGGTTTGCTCCGGCTCGGTTTTCCTGAAGATGTTTTTCATGGTTGACTTGAAGTTATTGGTGACAAAGCAGTAGACAATGGGGTCCATGCAGCTGTTGAGGCTACTCAGAGTCACTGTCACATGGTAGACGAGGAGGCTGACATCATGGGGCATGTCTGGGTTGATGGAGATTGCTACCTGTCGCACATGAAAAGGAGTGAAGCAGATCATGAAGATGATAAGGACGGTGATAAGGAGTTGCACAGCCCTCATTCTCCTCTCCCGACTCTGGTGCATGAGACTGGGCTTGGACAGAGCACACATAATCCTGGTGGTGAAGAAGATGATTATGATGAGGGGGAAGAAGTACTCGCAGACCATCAGGACCAGAATCTTGGAGAGGCAGCAGGCAGCAAACTGTATTGCCATGGTCAGGATGGAGAAGGTCACCACAGTGGCAAAGATCCAAATGAAGACGCAGATCCCCTTGGCACAAGTGGGGTTCCTCCATTTACGTGAGGCCTCCACCTGCACAATTGCCAGGTAACGGTCAACGCAGATGCACGTCAAGAAAAGGATGCTGCAGTACATGTTGACAAAGTAGCCAAAGATATGAACCAAGGAACAATTCAGGCAGTCCCCTGCACTGTAGAACATGATGATCCGGACAGGTAAGGAAAAGCCTACCAAGAGATCAGTAACAATCAAGTTTATGGTGTAAATAACAGAGGTGGTTTTTGTCTTGGTACGGAAGCAGAAGACATACAGTGCCAAGCTGTTCAGCACAACACCCACCAGGAAAATGATGGCATTGACTACCATCAGGGCAATCCACAGGCTGTAAAATTCTGTGTACAGTTCTTTGTCGGGGTGAATGAACTTGGAGAACAAGTAGATGCTGGAGTTGGGTTGCTGGGTGGAGTTGATAGAGTCAAAGGCTGGCGGCTGGGTGGAGGAGGTCAGCATGGTTACTGACTTCCCAGCAATCTGGAAGAAAAGGAACAGAGGTATACTAATGGGTAATGTCAGGATCTGTTAGGGCTCAAAATATTGTCACCTAAGAAGATTTTAATCAACATATTTGTACATGAGTTGTATATATTGCTGTACTTTCTGAGTGTCTCATCTGCCAATATGGGATTACCAATAATCACTAGGAAAATACCTGGCTTTATAATTACTGTCTTCCAGTGGCTCCAGATGCATATTTTGGAGAAGACACACAATCCCCACTTAAAGTTTCTCTTCCTCTGCCCTGTGCAAAAATGGTTTTAAGGTCTGAGCAAGAACAGGGATGTGAAATATTCTGGGCGGACCAAAGAAGGAGGGAAAGTCGGGGGACCTACACATGATTGTGTTTGAGCAAGCCATGTGGCAAATGGCCCAGAGAAATACACAGGGTTGCTGTGGCCAAGCAGGCTGCATTGATGCTTATGGAAGGCACAGGCCATCTTCTGCTATGACAAGGGACGGTCAGGCCAATATGAGGCTCCTACCAATTCTTGTTTCCTGAATGTGGCACTTATTTTTTTTGAGTCCTTCCTCCATTGGAGCAGCTTCTTCCCAACTGGAGGCTCTTCCTGCCCTGCCATGGGAGCAGGATAGTGCTGGCAGCCAGAAGACATTTGCCCAACCTGTTGGAACAACCATAGCCCCAGCATCTGAATCTTAAAATATCACATCCCTTCCCTTGGCCAGGTGATCCCATTAGAAAATTACATGCAGCAGCATTTTCAGGAACTGTAAGACTTCCTGAAATCAAAGGATGGCTGAATTTTCCAGGAAAGCACAAGCGGGTTGTGTGGCATCTCTTAGAGATCTGCACTCACATATAGCAGCCAGGAGATTTCAAACCAAGGGCGTCAGCTGCTACTTCTGCCAGGGTTTGACAGTTTAATTTGCAAATCATTCCTGACTTATACACTATTTTAAACTGATTTGTATATTAAAAAGATTTTTAAAAGCCCAATATATACAGAAACTTGGCTGGTTTCAATAAAAATAAATGGTTGAAAAATGTCTGGAATATTTCAAAGCGGCTGAGCAGGACTTTGAGGTTAAAAAAAATCAGCTTGAATCAGCAGAGAATGATGCTGAAAGATTTGAGTTATGACAGTTTGAAATCCCTGCCATGAGAGAGCCAAGTGCGGAAGGGCTAGGAGACAATGAGCTGCAAACACATCTTCCAGTGCTCACAGGAAGCACAGTGTGCCTAGGCTGTGTGTCTCAATGAGGAAGGCTTGAATTGCTAAGGGAGTCTGGATATCCAGCTCCCCCAAGCATGCCTCATCCTCTGGCAGCTGACTTTCTGCCTGCACTAAGTCTTTTTGCTGCTTATGGGGACTGGGAGGATGGACTGAAGATGTCCCATTGGCTGTGAGATGCTTCAAGCTGTTGGTGGCCGTGTACAAAGTGGAGGAGGAAGCTACCTAGGTCAGAAGGCTTCCAGTGAAAAGTGGATCCTCAGGAGAGTTCCTGCTGGCCAAAAGCAAATGTTTTGCAGGAACAGCCCCAACCAGGTCCAGAAAGAATCAAAGTAGCTCTGAGCCTGCCTGACAAGTGCCAAAGCCTTTTCCTGCCCAGCTACCAAAAGCTTTCTTGTTGGGCTAATGAACTACAAATAACTGCTAGCTGTAACTCTCAAGCTCTTGAACTCCTCAACACCTCCTGACAAAAGCAGAAGGTTTCCAGCTCTCTGGGATAAAGAGCTGGGAACTGAGATTTAAGAGAAGAGATTCCCAAGTCTCTGTGCATTTGCTGAACACACCACTCCTGATGTGTCTCACAATGCTGAGCAGAGGGGACGGATCACCTCCCTCAGCCTGCTAGCAATGCTCCTCCTAAGGCAACCCAGGAGGCCATGTCCTTTTCAGTAGAGCAGTTCCCAGCCTATACTGGTGAATGAGGTCATAGGATATGATCAGGCAGGCTTCTGTGGAGGACCAAGTGATCAAAAAGTGGGTGCTTTCCTGCCCCTTCTCACTTTGGAAAGGGCTGGGAGTTAATTCTGTTTGGTAAATGGCCAACATAATTGAAGATCAAGAGTCCTCGTGGGATGCTACAGCCTAGTTGTGACTATTCTGTATGGTTCATTCAAGCCAGGGGAGCATGAAGCAGAACATTTGTTGAGCAAAAGCAGAGATTAGGACTGAGAATTTAGAAGACCACATGTGAAGTTCCTGCTGGAAATTCTTGGAGAAGTGACTTTGCCATCATGATGGAGCTAAGGTCTGGAGTGTGGTGATTGCTCTAGTTGCTTCTTGCCTCTCATCTAGTCTATGGAAGTGGTGTGAAAGAAAAAGCTGGTTTTTAATATCCTTGAACTTGGAATGATATTTATAATCAAATGTGAATTTGTTCTGTTTAGGTAGCCCCTCAAGACCAAGTAGTTGAGTAGTCCATTGGAATGGCTGGTGCTCAGTTGTAAAGCCCTCCTGAAATCAAACCCAGTGCCAGATTATGCTGCAGGACTGAAATCCTGAAGCCTGGGGTCAGACCACCCATAATGTCCCAAAGAACTGCTGGGCAAAGAGAAGCAATCCTGACTTCAGGCCACTTCTGCGCTTAGGCCATCTCCAGCAGCAAATGGACGTAGGAACATCTTGTGTTTCAGGAATGACCAGATTACCTCACCCTGCACTGAACTCTGGTGGTAGCCAAAGTAGCACACATATTCCCATTATTTTGTCTGGGTCTGATTGAGCCTGCAGACTCCTGGGGGAGAGTCTTGTCTCTTTACATTTTGTGCCAAGCACACTGTCAGTGAATAACAGGAAAAACTGGACCCAAGACTGCCTGAAGGTAGTGGAGCTGCAAAGTCTGGCACCTGAGAAAGTTGCATGGGGAGGATGCAGAACGCTGGCCCATTTTCTAATGATTTTCTAATGTTCTCACATCTGATCTTCTCTGTTTGTTTGTTTCACTCTTTAATTACAAAAACAAACTGAAATGAGCAGATGCCTGGATCTGCTCCCAGATTTCTTGTTGCAGATGCTGTCAAGAGGAGCACTGCGGAAGCCGCTGCACCAGTTCAAACAAAGGAATAAAGACTTTGTTCTCCCTCGAGTGCAATGTAAGCTTGTGTATCTATGTTCATACAGATGGCTGAGCAAGGGGAGAATCAAAAATCACCCATCCCATCCCTTAGCTGGCCTAGAGTATATTGAGTTACATATGCATTTGTCTTCTTATTCTAATTCTAAGGCACTGGCTGTTTGCTCTGATTTTACATCTTGTTAGTAGCTTGCCTCCACTGGGACATTTTTCTATGGGTTCAGATCCTTTATTGTGAATATGTGATACTCATCTTTCTTACATTTTTCCTTTCCTACCTCAGTGAAATCAGTAACTCAAAATGCATTCAAATGTTTGTCATCCTCTCAATGCTACTGAGATGTTTAAGGCCCTTTACAGACTGATAGAGAAATGTCCCCTATGAGTACTGTCCGTACACAGAAATTAAAATCATCAGCATATACAGCGTGATGGCTTATATAGTCACCTCTTCCAGTGAGCCCCATATGCAGTGAAATGAACTCCAAATATAACAAACAGCTAAAATACAGGTAGCATTTTGTTTGTCAAATTGAATATGCAAGGGAAGAGCTGAATTAGAGTTTGTATCTTTTTCCAGTCCATCATTGACCGGTCTGAACTTAAAATCCAAGCAACTACATGAAAGAAGTCACAGCAAATTTAATTAATTCTGAAGATTTCCTCACTGACAGGCTGTGGAAAAGCTGTCTCTTGGGCTGCAGTGGGAAAAGTCTTCCTCTAATCAAATTGTTACTGATGGATGTTTGGGTGAATGGCCTTTTCCTTTCTTTGTGGGACTGCCCTCATCTCATGGCTCACAAGCAGAAGTGATGGAGAGCTGGACTGGCAAAGCAACAGCATTCCTCTGAGGGCTTTTAATTAGATGGAACTGGACCAAACCCCTGGTTAACAGCTACTGAGTGTTTTTCCATTGTGAGTCTCCAAGCACTTGACAAAGGTGCGTTGCCCCATTTTGCAGCAGGCTGAACAAAGCATAGAATGGCAGCATGACCTCATGTCTGGGGAAAAGCAAACACTTCCAAAGATTTCCAATTCTGCCCCCTCCCCCACCCCCCCGCCTCTTGTCAAAAAATTACACCAACCTGATCTCTCTCTCCACCATCAGAAATATTCATCCAGGTGTAAAAGTGAGTCACTTCAGCTACCCATCGCCATGTAGCGGTGGCATACAGCAGCCAGTGGGGGTCATGGCTAAATACATGAGAAGACCTGCAGCCTCTGAAAACTTTTATTTTGCTATTTTTCATACTATTTATTGCTTGCAGATCTGGCATGAGCTCATGCAGAGCTACAACAACTACAATCACATTTGCTTACAGAGTAAATAACCCTTATGATATCCCCCTTCCTAAAATCTTCAAAGAGTTTGGAGCTCAGCCTTCTTCATGCCTAATTTAGCTCTTAGCCCCCCAGATTTCCATGCAATCCCTGTTTCTTGGAGCTGCCAGTCTGCAAAGCCCAAGATGGGTAAACACGCATCCTTCTGAGTGCTGTCTGACCACGCCAGTTGGCCTATGCTGTTATATTATACCTCTCAGGCTGGATTTTGTCTGTCTGGCTGTGAGACTGTGGGTAGCATTTCCTTAAAAGTACAGCAGGCATTTGGGTAGAAATGGGATAAGGGGAGGGACGGAGACTGGAAGTTGACCTGGTTTCCCTCATTCTGAGAAAGGTCCCTGCTCAGCACTGGGAGAGGGGGACTTGCTCTGAAATACTTTCTCATTGTTGTGTGACCCAATCAATTCCATCGTTCTTGGGCCAAATAGGAAACAGATGGTTGCTGTGCTGAAACCAGGTCCTGCAGCCTCTTCCCTCGCTTGCTCACTGCTTGCCATCACACTTGTTCATTTAGCGTGGGCAGCTCAGCGCTACGTCTGCCCCAGGAGGATATCCTTGACCATCTTTGTATTTTGTTCCACCCAATTTTTTGTTTGGTGTCAGCCTTAAGCCTCACCCTCCACTTGCTGAAGTTAACGGGGTTCACTTCCTTGACCCAGGGCACTTTTGGATCTGTCTCATCAATTCAAGTAATGGGATACAAAAGAAAAGGCAGGTCAGGCAACTGAGCTTTGTCCTAACTGTTCTCCAAAAGGGTTATTTATTAGTGTGTGCAGATAGGATCTCTGTGTGCAGACCCAGAGACAAAGAACAAGAGAACCATACACTGGGATTGGAAAAATGAAAAGGACATTAATAGGCGTGAGCAAGCGTTATGTAGTATAAACAGCTTCAGCTTTTCTCATCTCTCTGTCCTGAATCAGAACATCTGATATGGCAGCCTGGCTCCTCTATCATCCCCGCTGTCCCCCTCACCCTGTCCTGCCTGCTCGTGTTACTCTGCTTCCTGGGATGGCAGCAGCACATGTTTAGTTTTGCAGCCTTTCTGTGTTTAAAGTTCCCTGGGTGATTTATCATCATATTTATAAATGAAGGGTTAAATTCACTCTCTTTCAGTTTAAATTGTATGATTCTCCTTCTGGCAAGCTCTCAGTCAACTCTGGCTCAAACTGGCCAAATATGGTGTTTTCGTGCATGTCGAGGACCTTGCCCTATACATGGTAGAGCTTGTTCTGTGTGCCTCATGCTCAGCCTGGGGAGGGTGGGTTTGCTGGCAGTGGGAACTGAGGAGAAAGGGTGAGAAAGGGAATGAATCCAGCTGCTGGAAGGAAAAAGCTGGTGCCCATCTAGCCCTCAGGCTATGAGAAGAGAGCTAATGCCCAAGGGGGAAAGATCCTACACTGAAGCAGAAATGGGGCTCTTCCCAGGGTGGGGAAGATCCCATATTTGCAGGCATCAGATCTCTCCTCTCACTTGATTCCTGGGAACTGATGTCTCCTAGAAGCCTCCAGGTCTGAAGGTGGCCAGACAGAGTGTGTGAAACACCCAGCTGCTTGGGGAGTTGCAGTTGGAAATAGTCAAACCCAGTCCGGAGCTGGATTATTCGTTCCCCTCCAATGCTCTGGAAATAAAAGGTGCTTTGGAGACACAAAACACATAGTTCTGTGTCAGATCAAATGACATCTGCTTTCTTACGGTTTCATGTCTTGCAGTAGCTCACAGGGCTGGATAAATGCTTTGCCCTGGTTGAGATGCTTATTATAACTTTTTCCCATGTGGACACTTGGCTGCCTTAATGAGCACTCATGTTCCAGCTCTTCCCTTGACTCTGACACTGGTTTGACTTTCTTCTCTCTTTGCTGCCTAATTTTCTGAAAATTGAGGTGATCTTTCCCTTCTGCCAAATTTTGGTAGAAATAAGCCAACAGATTGAAAAACATTAAGAGAACAGAGGAAATCAGAGCTGATGATAAACACATAAATAGGCAGGGAGAGTGATCCTTGTTTTCTGTAATATGAACCTGCAAGGAGTTTGCTAGCACTCTTCACCACACATCCTTTCATTCAGGTCTTATTCCTTGCTAATTCGTAATTACTTTGGCATTGAAACACTGCAAACAGGGCTGGATAGCTTCTTCGCAAAGAGAGAGCATTGCCTGCCTCTCATTGTTTGCCTGAAGTGAAATAATTTCAGATTTACTCCAAATCGTATCTTCCTTATGGCAGAACCGTCCTGACTGGGGACAGATGATAGCTGATTGTCTTGTGTCTTCACTGGTCAACCACAGCATGTTTGCCCATATGTAATGGAGACCATGATGGCCAGCAATCCCTACCTTGTCTAATGGTTTGAATGGTCATGTGCTGAATTACAACCTTTGCCTGGAAGGCACAAGGTGTGAACTCACTTTGCACAACAGCAAAAGGGATTAACATCTGCCTACTGACTTTTTGGATGTCCACTTCCAGGCATGGCCAGGGCCTGCCCTTCAAGCCATACAAGGAATGACGGCCTGAGGATGTGTGGAGGCTAATGCGATGTTGGTCATTGGGCTGGTGTTGCTGATGGGCTGTTGATCCATTTGCCTCCTGCCTGATGTGCCCACTTAGCCTACATGTAGTCCTTCATTTCCAAAGCCTTGCTGTGGATGGGCAATGGGTATTGCTGCTAGTTGTGATTTGAACCCCACTCACACTGCTGTGTTCAGTGCTGTGTGTGTACATGGGTGGACCTCACAATCCCCAGAAAGTCTAAGACCAAAATCAGGTCCTCTATGAGTGAGGGACCCAGCTGCCTGGATCAGTCTGGGACAAACAATAGCCTGTGGGTGCCCAAGCAATGATTTAGTCCAACAGGTCATCCTAGGCCATGAGGGATCACTGCCAGTTAGAAGAGGGAGAGCACAACTCTGCGAACTGCATTCCTCTTCTTCATGGAGCAAAGTGACCCAAATGAGAGGAAGGCCACTCAGCTTGGCCCAGATGCCCACCTTCTACATCTAGGCTTGAACCTGCTGCTTAACACCAGGTGACAGTTCACTAGTCTTGGGCACCCCAGAGACAATCTATTTAAAACCTGGAAAGATCCGCACAGTCCTCCCCTAGCCCTGTCCTAAGCATGCAGAGAAAACATAGAATGAAGCTCCCAAAGATACACAGAGCAGGAAATTCGTGTGCTGGAAGATTTCTTATAAGTTTATACCTCCTCTGTGCTCATTTGCAGCAGTAACACCTCAGCTTTGAAAGAAGGAGCCCAGATGCACATGTACAAACAAACAAAAAAAGGAAAAAAATGAAGTGGGATTGTACATACGTGCTGCAGCTCCCTGGTCTGCCTCTCCTGTCCTTCAGCACACCTGTGATGAGGCTTGCTAGTACTGGTCACCTTAGTGTAAAAGCTTTACACCTTCACTTGCTTCTTTATACCGCCCTGTATAGAAAAGTCCCTCCTGAAACATGTAGACCTCTACAATGCCTTATTGATACCGTTGCATTTTTCATGTCCCTCATTTCTGCATTACTAGATCCTGGCATTGGAATGACAGAAATATTAAGTGTCTTGGTGAATACTCTATAAATCATGCTGTTAGCATTTGAAAGACCAGTATATTATAGCCTGTCAGGGCTAGTACCAAGTGCCATCTGTCATGAGGGAGCATGGAGTGACATCTCTGCAGTAGATTGTATAGTATGTAGTGTATTGCTAGCTCTGATACTTTAAGAGAAATCAGAGCATGGCTTCCTGCATGTATCCCTCTCTGTCCTTTGTGGACTGGTATAATGTGAGGGGAAAGCACATATTTTGGGGGAAAATTTTTTCCAAGAGATTAAAAAATTTTGTTAAAAGCTAGATCTGGAAAGAAATGTTGGAGTTTTATAGGTCCAACCAGAAGAGATGAATTTGTGCCTGTCTTCTTGGGAGGTTGTAACAGTACAAAAGAAATGCGTTTGGTTTTATTGGGATTGCAGTAATCCGTCTAGCATTTCAAGGGTGCCTGGGACAAAGTGCTAGAAATGTCAGTTTGGAATAACAGCCATCGTGGCTGTGTAAAAGGAGAACCCTGCAGTGAAAATTACCATATAGGCACATTCAGGAACTTTATAGGCAAGTACAGAAAACACCGTGGGAGATAAAACTGAGCAACATCTGGCCTGTGCATTGATGCTTGCTTTTGAAAGGGAAATTTTTAATTGCAAATTTAGCAATCTTTGAGCACTTTTCCCTCTTTCTGCCTTCAGCTGTCTGCTTGCTCTGTTCCATGCCAAAAAGCCTGAGGACAGTGGGGAAAAAGCAGCAAAAGTGGTTTGCTGTTGAGGAATACGTGGGGTCCTGCACGGCCTAGGGATGCAGGACAGAAGAAACAATTCTCACACCCCAGGAAGCACAGAGAACAGAGGTGACACAAATGCAGGAAGGGATGAAGGGGTGATAAGGAAGACAGAGGGGTCAGATGCACCAGTGGCAGGAGACCAGCCTGCCATGGATGCAGCTTTGCAGCCCAGTGCTCACTTCAAGTTATGCTGCTCTCTTGGCTGCAGAGAGAAACTGAGGCAGGGAGCCATGCCTGGGCTTGGCCCAGGGAATGCAGTGAGACAGGAAACCTGGTCAGGGAGCAGACATTTTTTGAAGTGTCACAGGATGGATAACCAGATCTTAACCCTTCGGGAGACCGGTTTCTGTGGTTTCCTTTGCTAGGCACTGTGCTCCCAGTGCTTTCAGGGATTTGCAAGTTTTGGATTTTCCAGGTTAACCTGGAAAAGCTTTGAGCTGCTAGTGGGTGTGTTGCTAGGAAAGCGGGGGGCATTTTTGAAGGACCCTGGATAAGGACCTTGGAAAGGATCTATTTTTTCTTAAACTGACACAGCAAGTAGATTTAGAGAAAGAAAATAGCATCTTTCCTAGACCTGAGCTTGCACCATGCTGCATAGCCAAACAGAGGTAAAACAGCCCCAGTCACAGCTGACCCCGTGTCAGGCAGTGCACTGTCTCCTTTTCTGGCTTCCAAAACCTGCCTGAATGCATTTCCTCAAAATTTCATTATGCCTGGGAATAGAGAGATACAAACAAGACATCACCCCGCTCTTCAAAAGAGCTGGCATAGTACTTTCCTATGAGGGAAAGCCGATACCTTTGCACACTTTTCATCACCCCCCATCTACTTGAGAAACAACCAAATATCACAGCACTGCCCCAAAACCAAAGAGCAGAGAAGGTCACAGCAGGGGAAGCCGCTCGCAGCCCCTTGCAGCTGCCAGTGCAGCCTGGCTTTCCAGGTCAGGCACCTCCTGATGAGCTTCCACACTTGCCTCACAGGCAGAGCCAGGGGCTTCCTGAGCTACTCATCCATGTGTTCAGCACAGGACCCTCTCCACTGCTATCCCCACCAGGGCTCCCTTCTGCAATAGCCACACTTTCCACTCTGGACTTGGGGTCCAGTCGCCAGCAAATCCCCGCTCAACCCACGCTGTCACCTCTCCAATCCCATGCCCACCCTTTTCTTTCTGACCAATATCCCAAAGCGTTCACTGCAATGGTCCCTGCAGTGTATTCCTCCGCAATGGGCTGACTTACCTCTGGCCTGATCTCACTTCTATGTTAGAGGAGCTGCCGGTAAGAAAATTTCCTTGTGGACTTGAATGCTATCACCCCAGCAAAGAGACATCTGTTCCTACAAGCAGAACAACTGGAGTGACTGGAGAGAATATGAAGAAATGCCTAATCTCTCTCTCGTGCGCTCTCTCTCCCCCCCTTTCTTCTAAATATAGCCTTGCAACTAGTGGGAAAAAATACATACTACCAAAAAAAAAATTTCCACTTGTCTTTAGTGTTCAGAATTTCTCCCCAAACATCTGGCTTCTTGCCCTAAATCTCTCTGAAATTTATGAAGTGCTGGAAATGCTAAAGAGGTCTCTAGCCTTCCTTACGGTGCTAATGCCTGAACATCTCTAGTAAACTAAAACTGATGCTGCTGCCCCTCTCTTGTCCCCTCTCCGGGTCAATTTTCCTGTGTCTCTGTGGGAACAGAATCTCCTTGCTGAGAACTTGCCAGCTCAAGGGTACCACAGTGCCACTGAGCCACCATCCTGTGACACAAGAGGAAAATACCTCTCTTTTCATCATTCTGATATGAACTAGGATTAGACAGAAGCATCCCTGGCAGTTGCAGGAAGGTGTTAGACCAGATGCCACGAAGCCTGTGACGTGCTTTGTACCAACCCAGCTGTCCAGGCACAGGGAGACAAAAGGTGACCCTTCACACTTTGGTGATGCTCTGGCTGCAGTCCTTTGGGCAAGGGGTTAATAAGATCCATCCAAGAAGTGGGCTGAAGTGGCTGAGCATAGATGAGTTGAGGGTGGAAACAGAGTGTCTGAGGTTCCACCAAGGAACCCCCCAACATGTTCCTCCGTCCTCACACAGCCCTTCCCTACTGGTGGCAGCATCATGTGGGTATCAGGTCCCTCTCAGAGTGGGGATTTAAGTATCTCTTCAGCCTTGTCTGCATGAGAAGAAACTGAGATTGGGCAAAGCATAATGAATTATTCAATTGTTGAGATGGGTTCAAAGCACATGGCCAGATCAGCTTTCAGGATGTCTGTACTGACCAATGCTGTAAGTATCCAAATCTCCCAAATCCCCCAAAATCCCACCTCATGATGGGATACTCCCTGCTCTAAATTCGGTACCCAAAAAGTCATCTTTTGTGGGGCTTGCACAGATACTTTCTCCAGGCTGGTTTTCGGTAGCTTTAGAGGTCCCTTCTGGGAAAAAAAGGCAGAAAAATAAAGTGAGAAGTTGCATCACATTTAGCTGCTTAGATGGACAGGGAGGATGGATGCTGGATTTTAGTGTCAGCCCTGGACTGCTCTTTTCCCTCACCCTTTAGATAAAGACAACACTGGTGCCAGTGCAATAAACATGCAGAATATGGCCCGTCACAACACGACAGGATCAACTGAGAGGCATTGAATTCCAGGTCAAGAGGCCAAATCCATAAATAGAGGAGAGGTAAACTCCACACATGCATGTCTCACTGGAGCACAAACAGTAGCCATGGTTATTAGAGAAGGTTGACCTCATTTTCTGGAATTAGTTTTTCACCCTTGGATCTTTCCCAGGAAGACTGAGCTGATCTTTTTTTCCTGGTTATTTTATTGATTTTCTGTTTTGAGTTTCCTCACATCGAGGGGCAGATTCTTCCCCTGGTTTCAGGAACATCCTCCTTGACTTCATGTGCACCTTGATGCAGGCATGCAGCCTTTCACAACTGACCTCCAGCTCAGGCATGTTCCTGGGCTCTCATCTGCTTTTCACTTCCTTATGACTTGGAAAGCTCATGTGATTGGAAGGCTCCAAGTCCTGTCGGGGTAATAATCTTGCCTTCACTTCCTTCCATCTCGGGAATTGAACAGGGGCAAGAACAAGAGAAGAAACCAACCTATAGTCCAACGTTGGGCAGGGTGGATGAACTTGGACCCTATCATTCTTGTTCTCTATAGTGGCAAATGCTTAAGTTTCCCCCAGCCTGCCAACAAAACTTTTGCACTTAGAGAATAGCTCTCTCGAGTTACAAAAGCAAGACTGAAAGAAAGACTTTTCTCCAGGATGAGATATTGGTACCTATGCTCAGTTCACCTGCTGAGGGACTGCCTGGCCCTTCCTGTGCAGAGACTGGCTTGGTTTTGTGCTTCTACGTGATACATGAAAGCTTTGTTCCCATCCCTGTGCACAGCATAATGAGTGCCCTGCACTCCCCCACTATCCTGGCCTCTCCCTCCTTGCTGGATTTAGAGCTAGACTCGGAGTGGTAACAGCTGCAAAGTTTCAAGTTGTGCCTGAGATAGTGCAGAGCATGCCATATTGGGAAGCAGATGCTGCTGTTAAGGTGGAGAAGGCACATCCGGGCTCAGGGCCACGCTTTGTCCCAGATGTGGTTCCCACACTTGACTTCAGGAGGAGTTGCAACCATAGCTGATGAATGAAAAGCTTCTATCTTCTCTTGATTTTCAGTCATTTATCATTCTCCCAGAGGGAGAGGGAAAGGAAGAAAAAAAAGTTAAGCTTTAGTAAGTGGAAAATTTTCAAGCTTATTCACTGAATATGCAACAGTATTGAAAATCGCAGTGAATGTCTTGAGATTGTAGGTGGAAGAAGGTATTGAATCAGATGAAGTTAGCATGTAGGAGAAGGAATAACAGTTACAGCAGGGAAGAGTGCTACAGGCCCATAATAATTCCTAGCAATCCCTTAACCGCGCCACATAAAATAAGGATAGGACAGAGCTCCATTTAAAAGCCTTCTGTGGCACAGAAGAAAAGCAGGAGGCCAGATGGCTCTGAAGGAGGTTGTCAGAAGTCTGATACCACACATCACCCTGGGGAGGTGCCTTCTCGGTTTTTGTCAGGGGAAAGGTGTACTTTTCCAGTCCTATTAAAAAATCATAGAAACATGGAATAGTTTGGAAGGGACCTTTAAAGGGCATCTAGTCCAGCCTCCCTGCAACGAGCAGGGACATCTTCAACTAAATCCAGTTGCTTAGAGCACCATCCAACCTGACATTGATGTTTCCAGGAAGGGGGAATCTACCACCTCTCTGGGCAACTTGTTCCAGTGTTTCACCACCCTCATTTTTTTCTTTATATGTAATCTAAATCTATCCTCTTTTAGTTTAAAACCATTACCTCTTGGCCCTACTAAAAAGTCTGTCCCCATCTTTCTTACAAGCTCCTTTTAAGTATTGAAAGGCCACTGTAAGGTCTCCCTAGAGCCTTCTCTTCTTCAGGCTGAACAACCCCAACTCTCTCAGCCTTTCCTTATAGCAGAGGTGTTCCAGTCCTCTGATCATTTTTGTGGCCCTGAAAGGGGGAATTGAGTGTCCTTTCATCCCCTGCTGCAGGGGAAGAGATTGAGACTGGGCACAGCGTAACAAACTATTGCACTGCTGAGAGGGGCTCAAGGCACATGGCTGGATCAGCTTTCAGGATGCCTCTGTTGACCAACTTTATAAGGACCTAAACCAGAGTCCGATGTCTAAACATGCCTGCTTTTTTTTTTTAGGAAATTGAATTTAGGCTCTGTTATACTGAACAGCTCCTCACAAATGAATTCTTTTCTACCGTGGTGAAGGAGAGCTTCTACCCAAGAAGGTCTTGGACCCAGACCTGACGAAATCAGAGCTCAGAAAATGGAGGAGCCTTTACCATGACTGTGTGGAGGACACTGAAGAATGGGATCCTCACTACATGGAGGACACTGAAGGGTGGGATCTTCATTGAGCTGTCTTGGGAAACCTCTTTTTATTAGCAGCTTCAGAGAAAGTGAACTCACATGCCCATGGAACACCTCCGTTGAAAATTCTCCCATTTTCCCTCCAAGACATGTTCCTGAGACATTTTTCCACTATCTTGCTGCTGCACCAGGAAGCAGGATAATCAGAAGGAGAAATGGGAGCAAGTAATGCCCACAAGTCACAACAAACACAAAAAACATGAGCCTGTCCTCAGAAGACTTCTTGCAGAGGAGGCTGCCCAGCTGATGTAGCTGCAGTGTTGATGGGGAGGCAACAGTAGATCAGCTCTGCTCCCTGCCACATGAGTAAGCTGTCTGCCATGGCAGCTAAAGTTAATGGTATGGAGGAGAGTCTACATCCATTTTACCCTCCCTGACTACTTTTCCTTCTAGAAGAATTTACCCTAGAAGATCCCCAGGCCTTAAAAAGTGCTGAAAAACTCTCACGTATGTCCCTATGATATGCATGGCCCATGAGCCCCAAATTCTTCATTATTTATAGTCTCCAGGTCAGTTGTTGGATGCTGTGAATCAGATGCAGAATTGATACAGAGAATTGGGTTAGTTCTCACAGATGAACCAAGGGTGGAGAAGTTACTGTGCTGGACACCCTTCCAGGAGTCACCTTTTGCAGGGGATAACTGCCAGGAAAGCACCACATGGCATTTGGTTTAGGGGGAAATCTGTGGACACTGAGACTCTCTCCAATTGCATAGGAATTTCGCTCCTTGCGAAGGGACTTGTGCTTCAATCCCATCACGCTTCCTTATTGTTCGTGAGTGGGACGTCCATTGCCTTCCCTGGGAGGGAAGCCTTGGACAGCAGTGTGGGAACATTGTCAAAGGACGAGGAACAAAACACTGGCTTCTATCCCAGCCCTGACACAGACCGTAATGGAGCAGAGCAGGAATCTGGCAGGTGCTGCCTGATCGATGAAATCACCTGCCCTAACTTTTACAGTCCCCTGCCAACAGTGAGGAGAGGGGAGAGAAACGGATATTTGGTGAGAACAACTTGTAGCTATTCTGACTTGGTGGAGCTGAGAAGGGCCGGGGAAAATCCCTGACTCCTTGTCCTACATTCACCTTGGGCCCTGCTTGTGCTGTGGGTGCCAATATCCTTGCCAGTGAGGCACAAGGGTGGGAGGCCATGTAGACAGTCATGGGAAGGAGCTCAAGGGCTGGATTAGACCCTGCAAAACTCCATTTACTCAAGCTGAGTCAAAATTGGCCCCTGCAGGGATGCCAGAATTCAGGTGCTTGCAGCCCTGTGACAGAGAGAGAGGCTTGACTGGCCACAACAGGGTCTGCAGGGAAAAGGGAGTTCACAGGGAATCAGGGCTCGGGGTTACTCCTTGTCCCTC